GCAACCTTGCCCAGGGTTTCCAAGGAGTAGCAGGTGAGTCTGAATCACTGCCCTTGTGTTAGCAGTCCAGTGTTTTTCCTACAGCACTACCTCAGGACTCCTCACTATAAGAAATGCAGACAAGAAAACTGCACACAGAGACAATCGCTAGCCCAAGCCTGTCCCCTAACATAGTCACTATGTATCACAATAGTGCTTTTTCATGTGCGTGTTTTTCCTAGACAGGGAATATATGGCTAACTATCTCCGTGAACAATCGTTGAGACCAGCGCCCGGCACCATGATTACTGAACATTTTGATCAGAGATTCCACAGAATCCTGATCAAAAGGGGGGAGCTGCAGAACAGAATTTCAAATTTTCATGGATTTCAGATTTCTGGAGCCATGGAAGCTGGATGAATCTTTGAGACTGTTGTGTGGAGATCATCTTTAAACCTAGAACCAAAAATATCTCCTGAAGTTTTAAAACCAAACAACAGTTCAGCTTAACTAGTAAAGAAAGACTGTCTGCCTTGTCTGTCATTTCAAAAACACAACTGACAGTATGTCTTGCCAGGAAGAAATTCAAGCTCCTATACAAAAATTAGGATGATGGAGAACACTTCTCTGCCACCATGAACTTCACAGCCTCTCTTCAAATGACAGAGGTGGTGACATCAGCAAATGTGAATGCTGGGACATTGTTTAAGGTCACAGGCCAACATTAAGAAGTTCTGCATTACTCAGTGAGCCACTATTTTCCAAGTGATATTACAAATTACGCAGGGCTAGAATTCCATTCGCGGTGCAAGAGAACAGTTGATTTTCACGTCATAGTACAAAATGTTTATTCATGTGGCTTGAATCTTTAAGAAACTGCCCCTTGTCAAGTTTTGGTGCAGCATTAGAGATACAGCCTCGCAGTTAACAGAATATGAAAATCTTCCTTTTCTCCTTAATAAAAAGGGAAAGGAATGTCTGCACTGACCATTGTTCTTTTAAGATCTATCAAGATGAGATCACACTGACAACAGTAACCTTCAAGATTACATAGGAAACTTAGGGAACCATGAGTTTATGTTCATGGGGGGAAAAAACTTGGAAAAGGAAGGAGAGAATGGTGGCACAATTTGAATTGTACAAACTGTTGCATTGGTACATGTTCTACTAAGCACATTCTCAAAAACAACAGAAATCAAATGAATTCTAAAAAGACAAGAACACAGATTTTTAAATAACTCGAATTAATTTTCAAAAAAGAAAAGAGGAGGAGAAGTTGACGAAAAATGGTTTAGTCCTGGATACAAATTCCATTTCTAATCCATACAAACTGCATGAACTTAGACAAGTTGTTTAACGTCTATAAGCCAGCGTGTCCTTACCTGTAACCCACCATAAAGTCTACTGTAATCACTACATGAGAAGAAGAGGCCGCAGGATCACCAATCATGCCCAGACATGGACATTTACCACAGAAAGTCCTACTACATCTCAGAAAACCAGGACAGTTACCCTAGTTGGCAGCCACACAATACATTTTAGCTATTGTCATCCTAAGATTGGAGTGCTGGCCTGGCGCTGCAGGATAATGCACTGGGCCGCAATTTCAGTTTGTTAACTCAAGTAAAATTTCAAAGTGGAAAATATCATATAGGTTATTTTCAATACTGAAATACTTAGATCATTGTCTGGGGGAAACGTCATTGTTGTGTGTCCTCAAGTCGATTCTGAATCATAATAGGAGTCACCTCTTTTGTGGTAAGCACAACTCTAAAAGCGCATGCCCTGGTGTGAATACCTGCTTAATTCCCTTCCCTGGAGTACAGTGAGTCTGACCTAATCAGGTGAAAAGCCGTTAGAGTGACTTGAAGGTACAGCGGATGCTCTCCTGATGGCCTTGAGGAAGCAAACTGCCCTGCCATGGAGAAAGCCGCAGGGCAGGCAACAGCGGGCGGCCTCTGGAAGCTGAGGGTTTCAGTCCTAAACCACAAAGAGCAGAACTCTGCCTACAGCTTGAATGAGTATGGACGAAGCCCCTGAGCCGCAGGCCAGATGCAGCCCCAGCCAATGCCATGTTCCCCAGCTACACCACGCCACGTGAGGGATGGGTACTAAGGCCGCCTGAGGTCATGGAGAGAGAGTGGGTGAAAAATGTGGAACAAAACCAAAATCATGAAACAGCCAGGCTTACTGGTCTGATGAAGACTGCTCGTCTGAGACTCTGAACCTCAGACACCTTTCAAGCCTAGAACTAAGGCCACTCCCGGGTATGGACTTTCAGCCAAACAACAGACGGTGAACAGGGCCGCCCAGAGTATGTACTCCTTAGAACAATCATTCCTACGAGATCAAAGGGCAGCATCCATCCAGCGATAGAACTCAGAAGGCAAGAAGAGCTGGGAAAGAAAGACAAAAGGAACCCTAAACACAGGGCGGAAGCAGGACGAGCGCTGTTACACTGGGGACGGCACTCAGTGTCACCAAACGTGTCTACATTGTTGGATGGAAAACCAGTCTGCACGGTAAACTTCACCCAACACAATAAAAAGTTGGATTAATTAATAAGTGTTGTTCAAAGACACTAACTTTGTGATCATTTGTTACATAGCAATAGAAAACGAATGCATCTTCTAAGAGAGTGTCTACTTCACAATTACAGAGAAAGAGCAGTATCTCTGTAAAGTGGTGCTGTAGAATAAGCACTGGACTGCTAACTACAAGGTAGGCATGAACTGCCCCTCGGGAGAAAAATGAGGCTTTCTGTTCCTGTAAAGATGGATGGCCTTGGAAAGCCTCTACAGGATTGCTATGTGGCGAGTCAGGATCAACTTGACAGCACTTCACAACAGTAAGATAGTAAACACAGATCACTATTCATATGTAGTACAGGAGGGTGTCAAAACATTCACGGAAAAATTCCATTATCTTTTCATTCCAATTTCCCATGAACTTTTTGAAGTAGCCCTCAAAGACATATTTATGTACACATGTGTGTATCTCCCTCCATGTAGTCGACAGAGAAGTATCGGAAAAAGATTCTCATTTCTTGCATAAAACTGCTTGTTTTAAAATAGGATTCAACCTCAAATTCAAAAGCAGTTTCTTAGTATATTACACTTAGACCGGGGAAAAAAATACCTGAAAATGCTCTCTGCTTCACAACGGAAGTGTTCACACAATGATGGTAGGAGTGTAGAATGGCCCAATCACTTTGGGAAATTGCTTGGCAATTTCTCCTAAGCCTAAACATACACCTCCCACTCAATGACTCAGAAACTCCACTCCTAGACATACACCCAGGGGAAAGAAGTCCACAGGTCCACACAAAGACAAGCACACAGATTTTCATAGCAACTTTAGTCAAACAGCTCAAACGGGGAGTGATTCCAATGCCCAACAGCAACAGAAGGGGCCAACTGTGGTGCAGGCAGTCCAGGGTCCACTCCTAATTTGGAATCTGGAGGTACATCAGAACAGGTGCCTAGTTCTTACTTAGTTTTACTTCAGCAGTTCAAACCCACCAGCTGCTCCATGGGCGCAGAGGAGGCTTTCTGCTCCCATAAAGACATACAACCTCAGAAACCCTATGGAGGGTGGTCACAATGAGACAGAACCGATTTGTTGGCAGAGGGTTTGGTTTGGGGGGTTGGTTTGTGGGTTTGGCAGCGGGTTTGGTTTGGGCTCAGACACTTCTTAATGATCTAACAGCTGCACATGAGCCAAGTAAAGGTGACTGATGAAAACGTGAGGGCAAATTTACGGAGTATTAAAGGGCAAGTGGGAGTTGGCACTAAGGTGGACATTTCTGACCCGGGAACAGACCAAGAGTGTCCATAGCCAAGGCACATCGCCCAGACCCTGTGTGGCGTGAAAAGACTCATTCCCGGGAAGTCCATCTGTGGAGCACCTCTCGGTGGGCAGGGCGTCAAGGCTGGGGAGGGGCCTGGGAGCCTGTCAGAGGGACAGAACTGCTGGGTATCTGACAGTGTTTGGAGGGTACGTGGGGGGTTGCACAGGCAAACCGTCACTGAGTGGGTACACTCTAATACATATTGTTAAGTGCCGTGGAGTCCGTTCCAACTCATACTGACCCTGTAGAGGTTTCTTTGCCAGAGCAGGAAGCCTCATCTTCATCCCGTAGGGCAGCAAGTGGGCTCGACCATCAGCCAATGCTTCTCCCACAGAGCCACCACGCTCCCCACTGTATGTTATACTTCAAAAAATTCTTGCCCTTTACAACAGCTATTCAATTACCACATCTAATGATGTTTTAAGATGTCTAAAATAATTATGGAGTCCTCATTAAAAAACATTCAAGTATGCCGGTGACAAGTGAAATATGAATACTGTCACCTTTTTTATTTACAATATATACCTCTGCTACAAATTACCTATGGTACTTTTCTTTCAAACAGAGTACCTTCCACTAGAGGCTTGCTAGGAGGTGGGACTGACTCCTGGGAATGGGTCTTTAACACTTAGGCACTGCTCAGGAACTGCTGGTGGAATGAATTCCAACAGATAATGTCACTGTTCATGTTTCAGAAGTCCAGAGAAATCTATGTATTATGTATAAATGCCTAGCATAATCTCAACTGAATATACTCAACACTATGGCTCTGGTCCAGTGACTGGCTTCATTCACCTCTGCTCAGTGAATTACCCTATTCATCTTCAAGTACAAGAAATACAAACTAGGAGTTTGAGGCAAGGTGCGGATCGCACATTGTCCCCCCCTTTGGACACTGTGACTCTCATATGGGAGCAGGAGACCTCTGCATTGGACACAGCCCTCATAGCAGGTGGGGTGAAACGACCATCTAATCAACCTTTTCAGGGCTCCTCTGCTGGGCAGCTCTCCACCCCCTGTGAAGATTCCAGAAAAGCAAACCAGACTGTGTGCAGGGAAATGGAAAACAGGCACCCTCAGGGAAGATCACAAGCATGTTTGTGTTCATGGGGGAGCCGAGGGGATCTCAAAAGGATCAAAGAAAAGGCCCCAGCAAGTCTGCAAGGTTACCTCGCTGTTGTGTCCACGCAGGTTGAAGTTGATCCTCTGGGGAGTATTCCTGTCCCTGCGGCAGTGGCTGGAGGTGAAGGTGACCCCCACAACGCCGCGACCGTTGCCTGTGGCCAGCCAGCCCTCCTCGTAGTAGCGCCTCCGGCACACAGGCTTCTCCTTCTCGCTCTTGGGGACACGCCCTTTCCAAGACAGGCAAAGGATGTTTGAGTCGCTGCAGAGGACCGGCCCATGTTCCACCGCTGCGTACATACTTTGTCTGGGATGAACCTGTCCTTAGAAAGCAATGTTTAAAAGCTAAATTCAACTTCTCTCATCAAAGTTTCTTTATTTGGGGGGTGCTGCTCCTCCGTGCTCCCCCTATAACTAAGACTAACCTGGACAGAATTAGAAGGTCAGTACTTTCAAAGATCCACCAAATGCATAGTGAGAAAAACGCCTCTATAAAAGACGATGGCCGTCTGCTGAGAAAGCACGATGCTTTAAAAAACCGCCGGGTGCGAGTCTGTGTTCGAGTCCTCAGAGGGGTAACTGACCCTTTGAGAAAGAGTGCCAATATGTGGCCAGGGAACACGTTTGTCTTCTTTTTCTTCAACACGGTTTTTCTTTTTTGGCCTGAGGTTCCAGTTTAGTGTACGATGATTCCAGAGACAAAGGGCAGCAAATACATAGATTTCAAGTAACGTAAGGCTTTTATGAGTCGCCCTGGCTGGGGTGTTTCCTTCCAGGGTTCAGATGCAGAGGCAGCATGTCCTCGATCATTCTTCTCGGCCAGCGTGTTTAGGGACCAGACCAAGTCCTGCTGCTAAAGCTGAAGAAGATTGCATAAAGGGAGGAAAAGGCACACGAAGCGCGCAGAGCAAACCAGCTTGTGAAGACTGCAGGCCAGATGTCAGGAAGAAAAGAAGACGTCTTTGCCGCCGCTCAGATCCAGGATACTCCCCAGATCCTACGGCTTTCCCGATCCACAGCCAAGCCTGGCATCTGAGCAGGTGATGGTGTCCCAAGGGCACACTGCGCTCTGTCCACCTGCTGCCCCGCCGGTGGCTCGTGTCTCCATGCCATGGAGGCCGGAAAGGAGGTCCTTTCCCCAGGCAGGGTCAGAAAGAGTCTACAGCTTTTAAAGAGCCCAAAACGTGTGCTCAGGGTGGCTCCTGATTCTTTCCCTGTCTCCTTCCTCCCTCACCTCGTCACTTTGCCCCTCTTCTACGTCTAAGGATCACGTATTTTTCCCTCTTGACAAGAAACACTCATCACAGAATTCAGTCTGCCAGTAACCTTCCTCTCGTACCTCTCCAAACCTTCTTGGACTCAACAAGGAAGAGAACCCCTTCAAACCAGAACCCAAGCAAAGGCTCACGTCTTTGCCCACAGCTTCCCTGAAGAGTAAACGTTTTGCTGCTGGACACGTTCCTGTTCACAGTCAGGTCGTTTCCAAAACACCACACGTACAGTTCCAGGAAAAGGAAACTTGGCTTGGCTTCCCTTGGATAATTATTTTGCAATTATCGGTTTCGATTGCTACTGTAAGATACTGTCCCATCGATGCAAGAAAGGAAAGGGGAACCCATAAATTAAAATTGCTCCAGTACAGTTAACTAAAAAAAAGCCAAAAAAGGAATGAGTTCACTGTTCAGACTTGTCCCATAATACCTGAACTTGCCTTCTTCCTCCAGCCATCACCACACACAGGAGGAACTTTTCAGTCCCAGACTTTAACATCTGTCCAAATCATCAAACCCACTGAGAACCAAAGTGCCGAAATCTTGGTATGAAGCTGCCTGCAGTACTGACACCACACCCCCCGGCAGCTCCTTCATTAAACCCAGAGAGGTATTTGGGAGGCCTGATCTGTGTTGATTTTTTCTTCTTCTTTTTGCACACTTTCTTTACCCACGAGGACCATATGGAAAGTCGGCTGCTAGTACCGTGCTTCGTTCCACGGGCACCTGGGCCCGGTGGTGTCAGGTTGCTCCATCGGATTCTGAAATGACTTTTCATCGGTTGTGGGGCGCTCGCGTGTGCACAGGGAGACTGTCTTCTCGTGCGTGTGTGTGCGGACAGACAGACAGCTTTCTGTCAGCACGCGCACCGCCTTCACTCTTCAGCTGGCCCAGGAAGCGGCTGCTTGCCTCCTCATTTCAGAAACCTTCTGACAGATCATGGCATGGAGGCCCTGGAGTCCTTCAAGTCTGCAAAACAAAAAAGTATCAAAAATAAAAGAACAGAAGAAAATAAAGCAACAACAACAACAAAACTGGAAGGGACATGGGTCAGGCAGAATAATCACTGTAATCAACACAGGAGGCTGGCTGGCAGAATGTGCCCTTTGAACATTTAAATGAGTACATGTATATTTTGTAAGTGTATATCGCATATTTTTGCTTTGTTCATTTGTGAAATGTAAGATGCATGGGAAAATAGAAGGAGAAGATCATGGAATTTTCCTACACCCTTTTTGAAGCCACCTTGTATACTGAATGGAGCAGTTGGTTCCATTGATGAGTAAATTCTGAACAGTAAGAGGTAAGCCCACACCCACTTACAGACAACGCACAGTGTGTGGAGTCTGACCCATGTGAAGTGTGTGTGATTGTTTCTCAGGTACTGGCGTATCCTGATTAGCTAATTCCCTTACTCTGCCATGGGGGCCTGCCCTCCCCCTTCCAGGACATCAGTAGGCCCTTCAGAACTGAATTCAGAGATTCCTGAACTGACCTGTTCATCATCAACAAGGGAGATTCCCTGAAGACATGAGGCAGCAAGAACTTTTCAAAGCCTCTGGTGAGGACTGCCAGGTCCCAGAACACAGCACACTGTGTCCCACCTCCTGGGGGTCCTCAACTGGCAATGAAAGTCTTGTGGAACCCTGCGGTCGCCATTCCAGCCCCATCGCCCCATCAGGACTCTTTAAGATCACTTTGTCATGCCCCACATTCAACACTCTCTCAGGGACTTCAGAGTGACCTTTCACAAACTCAATTCAAGGAAAATCAAAGCCTTAAAAGTACTTCCCAGGTGGAGACCCAGCTAAGACTGACTTTATGCATCCAAAGGAGAGGTCTGTAGCTCTAATATGTTGCTACTACTGCTGAGATCCTAGCACTGCCTTCTGGACACCAGCTTTTGACAGCCTCTGGCCATAAGTTCAGGTACCAGCAAGACCCCTGATGATCTAATTTCAACCTGTCTGCCACCCTCCGGCTCCATGGCAATTAGGTTTGGTTTGGGTTTGGTCCCGTCCTCTTCTGCCAAATCCTCCAGGAGTAGCCTGTGTCACTACTGACCACTCGCAGTCCCGTAAGCATGTGCTTCTGGTTTCTCCCTCATGCCACCCCGCCCCCCTGCCAAGCCAACCCCAACTCTTCCAACCCAACTACAAGCGCACCTTTGCTGCAGGGCCCCCAGAGCACCCACTGAGTGAATGTGAACTCTCCCCTCTCCACACACCAGCTTCCAGAGAGCTTTCTCATCTTGGACAGAGAGCTGAGCGTGTCCTTAGCCGGCTACTGTCAAGTCGGTTCTGACTCACAACCCCCTCCACGTGCACCTACGTAGGACTCTGCTCCACAGGGTTTTCAGTGGCTGACATTTTGGAAGTGGGTAACCAGGCCTTTCTTCTGCAGCATGGGTGGATGGGTTCAAAGCACCAGCCTTCTGGTTAGTGGTGGGAGTATTAAATGCCATTGAGCCGGTTCAAACCCACCGTGACCCTATATAGGGTTTCCAAGGAGCAGCCAGTCTAGCGTGTTAACCTGAAGTGCTACTACAAACTGCTTATACTACCCAGGGGCCTTTGCCATCGACTCCTCACTGCCATCGAGCCGCCTTTTCTTACGCACAACCACCCTCAGGCTGTACAGCTTCAGGAGCTGGAAGCCCAAGCCCATCTTTCTCCCTCAGAGTGGCTGCTGGATTAGAACTGTTGACCATGTTTACCCAGCAGTCCAGTGCTTACCTGACAGTGCCACCAGAAGTTTGTGGAAGGAGGTCAGCAGCAGTAAGGTAGCAGCTACACAGAATTTCACTGACTTGCCCTAATTCAGTCCCGCTATATAGAGAGAGAGTGGGAGAGAGCCAACGTTTTGCAACAACTAAAACCTTTAGGAAGTTGAATTTTACTGGGAGTGGTAGGGGGTGAAATGGGAATGAAAACAAATGCTATAAAACTGAAATCATGCCATAGTCAACCCCTAAAATGCTAATGCCACTATATGTTGTTGTTAAGTGCTTTCCAGTCAGTTCCGATTTATAGTGACCCTATATAGGGTTTCTGAGGAGTAGCTGGTGAGTCTAAACTACCATCATTGTGGTTCAAACCTACCTTTCGGTCCAGTGCTTATCCTACAGTACCATGCCACTATATATTGCTACTGACTATTGGTCCAAGCTCACCAGCTGCTCCTTGGAAACCCTATACAGGGTCATTATGGGTTGGAATCGACTAGACAGCACTTAACAAAAACAACAACATATTAGCCCCAGGAGCACTGCTGGCACAGTATTTAAGTGCTTGGCTTCTCACGGAAAGGTCAGCCCTTGGAACCCACCAGCTGCTCCAAGGGAGAAAGACCTGTCAGCCTGCCCTGGTAAAGATGACAACTCTGGAAATCCTACGGGGCATTTCCACTTAGTCCTCTAGGGGTGCTACGAATCGGAATCAATCAGGCAGCTGCGGTTTGGGGTTTAGAGTGCATAACTTGTCTTAGAGTGGATTGTTACTTGATGGCTCCTGGTCCCTGAGCACCAGTGTGGCCTTCCCCAGCTGCAGACCAGGGTGTTTCAGAGGCAGGCAAGTAGGAAGGTCTTTCCCAAGATTCTGTCCTCTTTTCTGACAAGTCTGTTCCTTCTGAAAGACGGAGCATCTTTTAAAATAAAATAACGACACAACGATAACTTCAGTAGGAAGGAAACCAGGAAAGATATTTGAATAACCGACAGGGATGATGGGTCTTAGAGGACAGAGGACTCTTAATATACATTAGCCCCACCCCTGTTCACTGCCTGGAGCCTTTTGGTTAATTTGGATTACCAATTCTGCCAAATACCACAAAATGTACACAGATCTGGAGTCAGAAAACCAGAAAGGAAGAACACGCTCAGCATTTTTCAAGCTGGGGGAAATTAAAAAATTCAAGCCTCAACTTCCATTATTGAAAGATTCTCTGGACAAATTACTGAATGATACACAAAGCATCAAAAGAAGACAGAAGGAACAAAAAAAGAAGAAGAAGAAGAAGACAGAAGGAATA